TTCAGTTTTTTTTACTTCAGGAATGATTAACTGAGTTGATATACGATTAACAGGAAGAAATTGAAATGGAATTGATATATACCAACTTGTCCAATACTCTAATGTTGATTTATCAAACAGATCAATACGAATTGAATAATTTATTGATGAATGTTTAGGACGATGTGGATAGAGTAAATAGACATTAAACTTTGTTTTACATTCCTGAGCTGGTATATATATTATTTGTTCATGATTTGATACAATATTTCCTTGTTCATCAATTAGCATAATGATAAATTGAAAAATAAAAGGAGGAGAAATAATAACTTGTGTTTTAAATTGTAAAGTCAAACTAATACGTTGATTCTGCCATTGACATTGTGAACCAAAATAATTCGGTGGACAGAGACATGTTTTTGTTTGATTAACACCTTTGAATAGAGTGAGAACACCATAATGACAATATTCAACAAGTGCATTGTCTATCTTAGGTATATCATTTTTTTGTTCATATTTGTCAAAAAATCTTTGAACAGAACTTGTAGATGTTGTTGACGGAAAATAGCCAAGTCGCAAAGGAGTTAAAAAACGATCATTAGTACGATGTATTGGGATGATTTTACTTTGAAGTTCACATAAGTATCTATCATTACTATTATTATCGACTTTGTGGATTTTATTATTATCCAAGACTATTATGCCAAACATTTGCTTCTTAAGGCATACATCTTCTTGTTGTATATATGCTCTTTCTGAATGATGATTACAAATGTTGTCTTCAGTTATACATTTAGATTGGTTAAACGAATAGTAAGATCTGTCAATGTCATTTGTTCCATTGTAGAAATAAAGTTGTCGAATATATTTGTCAATCGTACAATTATCTCTTCGCTTATGGAACATGTGAACTAATGGTAAACAATAAGTTAAATTCAACGTAGAGTTTTTACATTGAAAATTATTCCATGAGCAATCTGTATCTGGACAATTAAGTTCATCGATACCGTTAAGACAATCCCACCTTCCATCACAATGGGTGTATGCATTATGACATGGCCACCATTCACAGTTTGTTTCATCACCAAGTACATTTAGACGAGAGTAACATATAGATGGAAATACTAATGATTGTCGGATCTTATCCATATAGTTAGATATCTCATCCTCTGTTTTTGAACAATCACCTTTTCCGTCATCAATCGCTACAGGCGATAAGCACTTAGTTGAATCTGATGTACAATTAAATCGATTTGAGATATTCAAGTGACATGTAGGAAATAATTCATCTTCATTATAATAACAATCTCTGAATCCATCGCCAACACGATGATATGAAATGCATTTTAAAGATTGATTACAATAAAAATACGATGAATTTGCACATGACATTTCATTACCCATAGTCGAACATTCATCATAGAATTGAGAGAATTTCATATTGAATATGTGAAAATTTTCTATCGAATATATTTGAATCAGATCAAAAGTTCGGCAGCATGTAAGACCATCGATTATTTTTATCGAAACTATTCTTGATAATAATGTAGGACATTTCTGTGGATCAAAGCAAACAAAGTCAGGTAAGACGTTAATTTTTAATTCATTGATTGATCGATTAGTTAAATAGACAAATTGAAAATAGCCATACATAACAGGATACTCAGGTAAAGTTAACCATTCATCCAAACAATAATTGCTAAGAAGTTTATTGTATTTATCCCAAATAATATCAGAACATGGATCCATTGAAAGCCGATCAGGAGGGCTGAAGACCACTAAACAAACGCAAAATTACACAACTAGCGTTATAAATTAGAGTAAATGGGAAAATATCGTGACACAAGAAAAAAAAGAAGACACCAGCTTTCATTTCTCATGTTTTAGTTTTAAAAAAACTCCTAATTGAAGTAGCATTTTGAAAAACTAAATAGTACATTCTGTAAATTATTTCTGAGGGTACAAAATTTTTATTCAAAGTTTTTTTTTTTTCTAAGTATCTATAGATTTTTCAAAAAGATCGATTTAGTTTTCGTTAGTATTGTAATGCATTGCGAATAAAAGAACGAAAAACGACTTTTACATAAACAAATAAGAAATTGAAATCCGATTCCAAAAGGTAATAATCCTTCTCAATAATCTCTAGATAATGATGAGACAAAAAATTTTGCTTCAAGATTTCATAAAGAAGTTTTTTTTTTGACTACGATCTTACTGAAAATTTCAACACAAATGTGGTTCATATCATAGAGTGTGTTCTGTAGTTTTAGAATTTTTTTATTTTATGAATTTAGAGATATTTAGTAATTCATTTTTAATTCACTAATAGACAACTTTTATAAAGAATCACAGTTAAATGAAAGTTACATATATTCGATTTTATCGAAAATG